CTATGAGTCAGGGCTGACTCGATGGCACACAACAACAACAACAGAGAATGTGAAAGTGTTTGTATGGTTGGGGAAGGGGTAGGTGATAGGGATCAAGAATGGGCAAGGATCACTGCCCATGTTTTAGGCATTTTACTCTGGAAATGTCTGCTAACTATGCAGCAGAGGATCCAGTGGGCCAAGAAAATAGACTAGTTTTCATTACAAATTCAAGAATCATTACTACATGGGAGTGTGAGTATTAATAAAGGGAGGGGCAGGATTAGAAGATGGCTGCAGTGAATTCATAAGTATAGTGGCAGGCAGAAGACAGCATGTGACACAAAGACTGGGAGAGAGCAGTGTTAGGCTAATGAAGAAATTAGTTTGAAAGGCTACCAGTGGGAGCTGATAAGGGAAGAGAAAAACAGGATATAGGTTAGAGCTCATGTCCTCTAAAGGGGCAGACTGTTAATATTTTAGGATTTGTGAGCTGTAGGTTTTAGCTCATAGGCTCAAAATGTTAGTAGTACTGCAGGATGTTTAGCAATCCTAGACTCTACCCAGGAGCTCTGGTAGCATAGTGCCTAAGGCACTCGACTGCTAACCAGAAGGCTGGCAGTTTAAACCCACCAGCCACTCCTTGGAAGGAAGACGGGGCAATCTACTTTCATAGTGATACTGCCTTGGAAACTCAAGAAGGTGTCGCTATGAGTTAGGTCCGACTCGACGGCACATAACAACAGCAGCCTCTACCCACTAGATGCCAGGAGTAACACCTCCCCTGCTACCCTACCAAAAATGTCTCTAAGGGCAAAATCACCCGTGGTTGAGAATCACTGTTTCATGAGTAGGTCATTGTATGGTTTCCCTTAAAATAAATCATTTAAAAAAATGAGATGTGCATACCTCAGAATATTTTCTAGATATTCAAATAGTACCTGGGTAGAAAAATACTTGGCACATTATGAAAAACCTTATAAAGTGCTTCACCTAATACCATGTCAAATCAGACTAGAAATTCTTAATCTGGTATCATAGGAGAAAAAATACCATCAGTATTTTTAAGGCTTATAGTCCATGAAATGCTATCAATAAACTAGAAAAAGCATGGTCAGGACTACACCATCATTAGTTTAAATGATGCAGAAGGCCCATGTAGAATAAAAACCCAGAGAAGAGAAAGACAAGCTTTCCAAAGTGGACTGTCTTGGTCTGGTGTTACCATTCCTCTGAAAGCTGTTCGTGATAAAACAATTATCATTAAATTAGGAACTGAGTGGGAGAGATTAGAACCGGAAAATTGAAAATGACTGCTACATGTGATTCTGCAATCATTGGTCAAAAACGGTAACGTTCCCCATGCAAGGGTCAAAACCAAATTTCATACATATTGGAGAATACCTAGCTATGTACAAAAGAAAATAAAGATCTAAGTTTTGAGACACAGTAAACTAAATGACAGAGTTGGATTAAAAAAAACAGAAAACAAAACATGAGCAGAGAATCAAGAATACAGCAAACAAAGATGCTCAAAATTGACCTTTAAGAAATACGAGAGAAAAACGTGAGGGGGTGGGCAGAAATACTGGGAGACACTCAAGGTCTTTATATATAACCAAAAGTGTAGAAAACTGGGACCTAGGAAGAAGTTGGGCAATTGAAAATAAATCCAAGCAGATTAAGATTCACTATGAATAAAAATCCTAACCAAGTGCTCTCTCCCAAAAGGAGATGTGGTTATACTTCAGAACTTTGAGTGAACTGACCATAAGAGTGACTTAAACACCAGACTACTGTGATCTAAACATCTGAAGACAATAGAGGTGACATTCTACTGGCAATGAGACTGCAATGTCAACTCCTTGCAACTGCTGATTGCAAAAGGGGGAAACTGCTTCCAAAACAGAATTTCCAAAGTACCAACAATCAAATTGATGAATGACTTTATTTTTTACACTTAAAGGCTGATGAAAAACCATAACTAATTCTATTTAAAAAAAAATCCAACATCTCAATTGAAAAGTATGATATTTACTCATAAAATGCCAATTAAGTTTTCTAAGACACAACTTAAAAAATATCCAGCATGCATGTTTAATTTCAATACAATGGATTCAAGACCAACTATACATGTTACATGCATCAAGGCTAGATTACAAATTATCATAGTCGTCGTCATCAGCATCATCATCATCATCATCATCTTCACGTTTTCTTTTCAATGCATTTGATGGTTCATTGGCAGTATTTTGTGATGACACCATGTTAGTGGTAATAAGAATATTTTTGGACCCAATTAATGATGGATTAATCAGAACATTCTGAACTGCTGATGCTGCAGGAATTGATGCTTTTACAGCTGGGGACTGTGAAGTGGGCATCTGAACCGTAAACCTTTGCCCTGTAAGGGACATTGGCGTCCCTACCTTAGTTGAGACAGACATGGTTTGTGGGGTTGGTGTGCCTAGCGTGGGAGTACTAGGTCTGCTAGTAACTGAACCAACACTTAACCGTGGAACTGTTATTCTTCCTGCAGAAGCAGATGTCTTCTTCTGTAAGGACTTAAGTCTATAGTTTGGAGCAGTTAAACAGTACCTATCAGGTGGCAATCTGGGACCTGAATATGGCTTGATCAATGGCAAAGGGGTTTGATTTCTTTGCCTTGCAATATCTAACAAAAAATCTCTTGGGGGAGGAGAGGTAAAAGACTGGTCAGCACGACACTGGATTGCCAATCGTACATCATCTGCATCAACAGTTGCTTTCTTAGCATGGCTTGAATAAATTTTTGCATCGTCTAGAATTGTAGTCACGTATCGGAAGGCAAACTCCAACATCTGATTTATAACTCTTGGCTCATATTCTGTAATCCCCATATCCTTCAGGATTTGTGCCATCATCTGTGCATCTTTCGGCATGCTCTTGGGAGAAGTCATCTTGCCAGACTCCATGCTATTCGGTGATCAGACTTAAGATCATTTGAAAGAAATATGTATATTAGATCAAACCTGAAATAGTTACATTAGTGGCAACTGTCAGGAATTTAAAAAAAAAAAGTATGTTCTTTAATTTTAATGAGGCATACTTAAAATTCTCTGAGTTTCTACCCTGTAAAAATCATTATAAGATATAAAAAGATAAAGACATAAATAAGAGAGTGATCAAAGATTAGCGGAAAATAGTAAAATTAAGTATAAACATGTATTACTTAGAATATATGCATACTGCATGCAACTACCAAACTAATCCTAGAAAACAGCACAGGACCATCATGTTCAACTACCTACCGAGTTCAAAATAATCTGTCCTTTCAGAGAGATCAATGCCCTCATCTTCCTCATCTATATGCTCAGCACCAATTGAAGTTCAGTGTTCACTCAACATTCTCCCCTCTCTCACCTTATATTCAAATTCTATCCATCCTAAGTATAATTAAAGGCTTTGAAGCCTTCTCAATTATTTCTGTTCGTAAGAATTGGGGGGCAATTTTAGGAGGAAGTGGAGAGATGATCAAAATAGCTAGGACATAGCTCTGGACACCAAACATTTTCTAGTTTTAGGAGTTCCCCAAAGAGTATAAATTCTTTAATGGCAGTCTCTCTTCGCTTTTTGTAAAGAGAGGTGTTTCTCAAAACACCTAGTACTAATAACACACTCCACTATTCTTGTTGTTGTTGTTGTTATGTGCCGTCGAGTCGGCCCCGACTCATAGCGACCCCTCCTTGGGTTTCCGAGGCAGTATCACTACGGAAGTAGGATTGCCCAACCTTCCTTCCGAGGAGTGGCTGGTGGGTTTGAACCGCCAGCCGTCTGGTTAGCAGGCAAGTGTCTTAGCCACTATGCTACCAGAGCTCCTATTCTTAGCAGGTCACAAATAGGTCCTCAATACCTGTTTTTCTTTCTTTTAAAAATCTAACATCAAAGTACCCCTTACCTTCTTTAGCTAAATCACCCACATTAATGTATTTCAGTCCTGATCTTGATGCAAGTTCTTTGCCTAGTGTGGTTTTTCCAACCCCTGGTGTACCTGTAAGAAAGTCATGGAAAAAACACAGTTTGTGAAATATTACTTATCAGATGTCAGCCATCTATCTGCCTTTAAGGTTAACAACTAAAATGAAAATTTTCCTAATAAGCAATTATATAAAAATATACAGTATGACCTAATAGAAATTTCCCCAAACCAGCAGGATGTCAGAATCATCATCCAGAACACTGTATCCAATTCTCTAGGAGTAGGAGCTCAGGTGATTCTGATGTCAATTCACAAAATGCCTGCCACCAACTTGGAACTGCTCAGAGTAAACTAACCATTTCAAACCAATCACCATCACTTGTTCAATTTACTAAGAAGAACATGTAAATTATTCATAGAAAAACTTTAAGCAGTATAAACAAGTCTCATTATCACTACTTGACTCCCTTATGCGCTTCCCTAGAACCTACCACAATAAAACAATTCCTTCAGTAACTTTGCAATGGAAGTCCTATATGTGCTATGATATACACATGGTTATATTACCATATATTCTACATAAAAGGTAACACACTATTGTTTTTCATCTTCCCTTTTACATTATATTTCCAAATAATCAAATACATAATATTCAGTTACTTATGTTTGTTGTTGTTGTTGTTTGCCGTTGAGTCGGCCCCGACTCATAGCGACCCCTCCTTGGGTTTCCGAGGCAGTATCACTACGGAAGTAGGATTGTCCAACCTTCCTAATACTACTCAAATTCTGAAACGTGAGCATTATAATTAAAGATAAATCAAGTCATATGCAGGTGAATAAAATTTACCTTAAGTCCACTATAAAACACCAAGGCTGAACCACAGAATTACGTTTCCAATAAAACACTCATATTTAGACTTCTGACAATAGGGTGTAATATTATAAACCCTAGATACTTTGACTCAAACATATCAGATGTAAAATCTTCCCCTTAAAGAATCTTACAGGCTAAGCATTCATCTGCTGTGGAGTATATCTGCAGCACCTGTGCTGTCAACTATCATGTTTTATTAACTGACAAAACTCTTTATTTCTTCGTTTCCACAAAGAGCGTCGCCAAGTTTTCTTTGCAGTATCATCTACACCCATTAGATTTTCCCATGAATGTCCTATGATGCCATTAATTGCTACAGTTTTCTCAACACTTTCAGAGAAATAACTGGCAATAATACTGCTTTCAAGTCTTTATGCAGCATTTTCGCTTCCCTCTCATACAGCAATGTCTTGAGTATGGCTCCAAAGACCCACAAGAGCCCACAAGAGTTTTTCAGCCCGAAAAACCTGCAGCATCTTCACACGAGAAACGACCAGAGATGCTCAATAAATGCCTTTTCTCCTTAAAAAGAAAAACAAAACAGAAGAATAGAATCAAAAGCCTCAGACACTAACACAACAAACTTACATAGTAAACTAGTCAACTCACACCACAAATATTCTATTACCAAAATCTGTTTTGAATGGCGTTTCAAGATGCAAAAGAAAATAAAAGGGAACCCAGGAAGGCCTAAGGACTGAAGATCCACCGATAATAAATCTACCAAGTGCCAGACACTGCTTTACATTCTTTTCCTATAAAACCCCACGACAACTCGGCCAAACTAAGGATCAACAACCCATTTTACAAATAAACAGAGACCCAGAAAGATTGAGTAGCTAGCGAGGTGCTGGATTCATCTACCTTTCTTTCACCTCACCAACTCAATTTACGTTCCGCGTCCCCTTCCCCCGCAACGCTAGCGAACGCCCAATCCGCAAGGGCTGTCAACTGCCACGCCACGCGGCACTCCACTAACGCGGAAACAGAACACTGAGAGGCCCCGCTTCGAAGCCCGAGGCCCAGAGCACTAGGCGTCCCTTGTCTGCCCCGCCATCCAACCGCACCCAGCCGCGCGCCCTGACCCGTGAGCAAGATGTTCGGCCGCAACATGGTCCTCACCGCGATGACAGTGACCGCCCCAACACACGCTCTTCACGCACAACCGGGAGGAGCCGGAAGGGGCGGGCAGCGGCAAGCGCCAGCGGCCCTGGAGTCCTCGAGTTCCTTTACAGTGCTCCCGACCCGCCTCTGCGACCTAGCCGCCAGCCATTGGTTACTTGGCCTTCTATGACATGATTCCATCTCGGAGTCCGAGACAGAGGCACAGTCGGGTTCGCTCTTCGGGTCAGGCAGTGTGCTGGATGTCTAAGTCGCCTGTTCTTTTGGCGGCTCCCGCCCTTCGGGTCGTGTCGCGGAAGTGCCCGCCGGTCTGGAAGGTCCCCAGGAGGCGGGACGTCTAAGAGGCTCGGTGCTGAGCTGGGGTAGAGCCGGGTGGCTACCCTTCCATCTGGAGCAGAGCCTGTTCTCTGCCGCTCCTCTCTGCCCAGGAGGGGATGCAGCTCCCAGAAAGTAAGGCCACTGCGAACACAGCTCTGATATATCCTAGAGACGTTAGGCCATCTCTGCCTTCGCACTGTCCCAGCTTCCGTCACCCCTCCTTCTGACCTACCCATCTCACCTGGGGATCAGAGGGATAGTGGTGCAGAGCCTTGTCCTGGAGCCGGAAACGCTAGCTAATCCTGGCTCTCCACTCATTAACAGCACTATGTTGTCTGAGTGTTTGAGTTTAGTATTCCATATGCAGTGTGTGGGGTGATGGTGGGTCTGGTGAGAGGATTGTTGAAGGTCTTTTTCACCTCTGACATCTCATTCCAGGAATCTGGTATCATCAGGGACAATTACTTGATTTTTAAAGGAGGTAAATGCCTTCTTGTTTTCATAGAACGAATTGAGTCCTGACTATAACAAGTCTGTCGACCTGTGAACGACATTTACTTACCTGGCTTTTTCCGTTTGTGTACCATTTTGAAACTCCAGAACTAAAAACATCTCTGATTGTGAGCAATATTTATTTGTTTTGTTTTCTAGTGTGTGGGAGAATTTACACATTATAAGTTAAGCGTGCTTCCAAACTATATATATAAAGGAAGTCCAATACATCTTCCTATGTATAGGTTTGTTGACCTTGAGTAATTTTTCGTGCGGCTAACTTAAAATTGGTAAATTCACTAGTTTCCCTAGACGTTAAAAATTCTGAAAATTGAAAATGTTGCAAAAAAATTATTAATAACGTGTTCAAAGAAGGAATACATTTATAGAAAAAATTTTATGATAAATTGTTCGCCAAAGTAGGTGGTAAGCCAGTTCATTTTTTTGCTGCTTTTTGCAATTTTGGAAATGAAGAACTGCAATTAAATTTGAAATTAGAAAAAAATTAATTATCATTATAAAAACTGCTGAAATACAATTGTCTGGTTGTTCTTAATGACAAAAAGTAGGTGCACAAATAAAATAATACGTATTTTTTCCAACAACTGATTTTTTAACTTGTGTGGAAAACTTTCCATTATTAGTATCAAAAATGGGTTAATTGATATACACTTACTAAAAATAAAATTTATATTTGCCTTTTGATTTCTTGCTTCACCTATGTTTTACTTTATTCTTTCACTAGTTCTTGAGCCTTAACTTTATTAAGTTGTTGATTATATCAGTATATACTGATTACTAGAATTTATTTTATGTTTACAGTTTTTCTTAATTTGAGTTTCTTCTTTTTTTCCCCCCTAGGTGAATTATATTTTAATGTACTACAGATTATATACTATGCATGGAAACTGTCAAAGTTTATAATGTCAAAAACTATTCTTAGACCAAAGCTATCTTCCCCAAAGGTAAAACACTAAAATAACCATGTAATAATTGCTTCAAACAAATTAGAATTTGTAAAAAAATACATTTTATTGAAATATAATTTATGTACAGTGAAATAACACAAAACTAAAGTGGCATGGGTCAATTCATTTTTTTTGCAGTGTTCCCTCCCCTCCCCTCCCACCCCTGGTAACCAACAAAGAAAGGTTCCTTCCATATGTAAACCTTTCTTTGACTTTTTACAACAGTGAACTAATGCTGTATTTGTCCTTCTATGGTTGACTTAAGGAGCTCTGGTGGCGTAGTGCCCGAGGCATTTAATTGCTAACCAGAAGGCTGATGGTTCAAACCCACCAGCCACTCCTCGGATGGCAAGTTGGATAATCTACTTCTGTAGTTATAATTGCCTTGGAAACCCAAGGAGGGGTCTCTGTGATCCGACTCCATGGCAGTGGTTGCGTTTGCGTTGCATGATTGACTTAATTCATTCAGCATAATGTCCAAGTTCATCCACGTTATGCGGTGTTTTGTAGACTCCACATTATTCTTTAGTGTTGCATAGTATTCTGTTGTGTGTATGTACCATAGTTTGGTTATCCATTCTTCTGTTGATGGACACCTAGGTTGTTTCCATCTTTTTGCTATTTTAACAAAGTATTTTTATATACCCTCAAAAATAGAAGAAATGTGCCACAATTTTAGTGCCAGTGACAGTATTTTAAAGAGGAGGAAATAAATTGGGTAGCTATGACTGGAATTTTCCCCCCATGGTATTTCTTTCTTGTCTACTGCAGTTAATGTTCCTATCCTCATCCTTAAAACAGAATGTGTGACTTTGCATTCATGATGTACATATAAGCCCCAAATTGCCTCCCTTGACTCTGCTTTCAGCTCTAACTTCTGATTTTTTTCTCCTCCAGCATTGTGCCCCCATATAGTTCACAACTAATAAATGGCTGAATATTCCTGAAGGACAATCTAATCTTGATTCCTTCTTAGCCTGACAGGAAATTCCAAAAGTCAGATGCTAAATTTTCTAGATTTATACTGTTGATTCTCTGTAGGCATTAGTTTAAGAAAACCCATGTTAAAACTTCTAATTATTAGAAAACCTTTTTAATACACCTATATTTTTTCATTAAAATTGCTCAATTCAGCCTTTTTCTCTGCATACTTATGAAGGATCATAAAGAAAAGGAAATACTGGAGGTAAATGTAGACAGATCACTAGTTTGTATAGACCAGAAGAAGGTGAAATAGAATGTACTAGTTGTCCTGCTTTATTTTCTCCGTGTTCTTTTTCTTAGGCATTTCTGAAGGACAAATCTCATCCTCCCTGGAAAACTTGCCTCAGTTTTATAAAAATATTAGTTGGTTGATGCACTGAAGAAAAAATATAATCAAGTCCTCATTATAGACTATTCACAGCATTAGGGATCCTTACCCTCTATTTTCACAAAGTCTTAAAGCCGATAAGGATTATTTGGATATATGAAGTGGTTCTTGTGAATGTATTAACCTGGCCAGGGTTAAGATAGATAGTTCATTTATTTATTTATGTTGCTTCAATTTTTTGTAGGCAATTTTAGTATTTGTATTTTAGTCCTACAAATGAGTCGTTTGCTTTTTTTTTTTTTAATCAGCGTGTTATTATCTGAGACTATTGTAGTTACTAATGAAAATTAAGTCTGTATTCTTCACTCTTTGTATGATATTGATCCTTACTGGCTACAAGTAGACATCTGTGCGTTTGTACTTACTGTGAAGCAGAAAAATAACTAATATATAGCAAGCCAGTTTTAATTAAAGAGCTAATTTGTAAAATTTTAATTTTAAGTGTTATAGACATGAATATTGTGTTTCTATAGTTCATTTATATAGGGAATAGATGGAGAAAATATGGTATTTACATGGCTTCTTGTGTTTCAGGTAGCAGACTGGGTAGCCTCATCATTTGATGATTTTTCAGAGAATACAAACATTTCTACTGCTCTTACTACCTCATCATTTGATGTGAATAACAGAAGTCATAGAAGAAAAAATGTTCCTTCCACAGTAGAAAATAGCAGATTTCCAGCTAGAAAAAGAGGAAAGCTGTCCTCTGTAGAACAGATTTGTGGTCTAGAAAATTCGAAAGAACATCTGCCTGAAAATGAACCATGGGTTGATAAATATAAGCCAGAAACTCAGGTACTAAACAACATGTAAACATGCCTATATAACTGAACTTTCAGGTTGATCAGAGCGAATGGGAAGGAGAAGAATAAGTAATTTTAAATTATTAGTCATAAAACTCTTCATTCTAAATACATTAGAATAAAACAATAATTTCTAGAATTTTTTCACATTCTAAGACGAGGATTTTCTCAACAGCTGTTTAGAAATTGTACTATTGGTTATTTTTCTCAGATTTAATTTAATCCCCAGCTAGATTTCATGTTTGTTTATTTTTGCCAAGTGCAATACCTGAGCTCTGGTGGCATAATAATTAATGGATTCAGTTCCTGATGCAGTTTGAGCCCACTAGCTGCTCCATAGGAGAAAGAAAAGGCAGTCTGCTCCCATAAAATAGCTTTGGACACCCTGTGGGACAGTTCTACGCTGTCCTATAAGGTCACGATGAGTCCGAATCGACTCAGTGGCAGTGGGTAAATGCAATACTCTTCCCAATTCCCTTCCAAAATGTCTACTGTTGAGGTGTTTGTTGGGGTGTTCATTTAGGTAGACACCATTGGCTACACCACTGCAGCTGTAATCTTTATGGAAGCCCATTGCCTGGCCTAGATCTTCCCTGCTGCTGCTGGGTGGACTCACACTGCCACCTTTCAGTTACTACTGAGCACGTGCTGTCTTTGCCACCCAGGCACCTTCCAAAGTTTAATTCTGGAGTTTAAAAACATTTTGTAAATTGCAGACTTGCCCCAAATTATCATGCAATGGTGTCAGCTTGAAAAATAGAGTTCTATCATGATAATAAGGCGCTGTGGTGGTGTAGTGGGTAAGGCATTTAGCTGCTAATCGTAAGGTCTGTGGTTTGAACTCACCAGCCATGCTGTGGAAGAAAGATGAGGCAGTCTGCTTCTGTAAAGACTTTGAGCCTTAGAAACCCGATGGGGCTTGCTATGAGTTGGAATTGACTTGATGTCAATTTTCTGATTGACTTGATGTCAGTGAGTTTGGTTTTTTATCATGATAATGTAAAACTAAGTATAATGAAAAGGACTTTTTTTATTAGAATATGTCATATTACATGTTTGCTTTTTTTTGTCATTAAAAATATTGATTTAGATTAATCTGTGCTAATTCACCAAAACTCTTTGAATTAAAATGCGTTATCATTAAACTTGAAATTTTTATCTTAGCATGAACTTGCTGTACATAAAAAGAAAATTGAAGAAGTTGAAACCTGGTTAAAAGCTCAAGTCTTAGAAAGGCAACCAAAACAGGTAATTAAATAAGAAATATATTTAAAAGTGTTTAACCAACTGCTTCTCTGACTTATTTGATTGTAAGAAGATAAACTTTCAGGATGAATTTGTTTAAGTCCAAGTCACCTTCCCTGACCTTGCCACTTCCAGCCTCACTTAGAGGCTCAGAGACTGAGTTTTCAAACCTTTTATTTCTACCTCTTTTTCCCTCTATGTCATGTCATCAGCATAATACACAGCAAATTAGTTAGGGTGCTAATATTTTTATCACATCAGATTATTTTTTTTACAAAAACCATTAGGCAAATTACATGTTAGTTTTTGTACTAAAGATAGCTTAAAACTGTCATCATTCATTTTAGGCTGATGGTTTTTGTTTCACTTCCTAATTCCACAATTACCTTTGACCCCTAAGCTAGAATATTTTCTCTTCTCTGTTTCTTTTTTGACTTTTTATTTTTTTAAGCTCTTCAAACATATAAAAAAATATGTCAGGAAATAGTAGTAATTACTATTGAGTTATATAGATAAGTCCAGTGGACCAGTCATTTCTTATATAAATAAAATTGGTGTTACTATCGTTTTTTTTTTTTTTTCTTCCAAAAAAGAAATAGAGAAAAACAGGAAGAATAGTCAGTAAATACTCATATACCCATCATTTTCCCCTATAACTATTTAAAGTAAATTATAGATGACACAGGAGTGGGTAACATTTCATTCTATTGCATATGAGATCACCATGAGTTGAAGCTGACACGACAACAACAAACAGTGACAATAATAGACAGATTTTTATATACTTGAATATGCCTCTGGATTTTTTTTTTTAAAGAGAATTTTCTTAATTAAATATATATACCATAATTACACCTAAAATAATTAATTGTAATTCTCTATTGCTATTTAATAGTTTATATTCGTATTTCTTCAAAATGTCTTTATTATAGCAGGTTTGTTCAAGGACCATACATTGCATTTGATTGTTATATCTCTTGTTGTTGTTGTTGTTGTT